GGGGGTGGGGAGCAGAGGGGTCGGATAAAGGACAGGAGGTCCCGGGGGACAGTCAGGGGGCAAGGGTGTGGATAGCAGTTGGGGCAGTCAGGACAGGGAGCAGGGGGGGGTTGATAGGGGGTGGGGTCCTGGAGGGGGCAGTTATGGGTGGGGGATCCCAGGATGGGGAGGTCAGGGGACAAAGAGCAGGGGGGGTTGGATGGGTGGGAGGTTCTGAGGGGGGCAGTCAAGGGGCAGGAAGTGGGAGGGGACGGATGGGGGCGGGGCCAGGCTGTTTGGGGAGGCACAGCCTTCCCTACCTGGCCCTCCATACAGTTTCAGAACCCCAATGTGGCCCTCAGGCCAAAAAAGTTTGCCCACCCCTGGTCTAGGGGAAAGCATACAGCTGAGCTAACCGCAGCACACAACCTCACTACTTCAGTGGCTAGTCATGCCCCTCCTACACAAGTAATGCACCCGCTCGCCGTGGTGCTTGCTGGCTTCATTGCTCTAGTGCTCTCATGAGCTGGTGGGCCTCTCTCACTCCCCCTCCCTGTAAGGATTTAGCTGTGTGCAAGGATTTGACTGTCAGGGCTTTGCACTGGGATTTCACAGATGTTCTATAAAATCTAGGAAACCGTGCAAGGGCTACTGCTTTTCCTGTTGTTTTAAATCAATAAAATATGTTGAGTTCCTAAAGTAGAGTAAACCTGCTCACACATTACAATAAGGGCCATTTATTAAGGGTAAATAAATGATTCAAAGCATGTTAGACATGAGTAGGTGTTTAGATGGTTTATAAGTACTGCAGTGAAAAATGTTACAGCTGGTTAAAAACCTAAGAATCGTTTGATCAATTGATAAGCCATTTATTTAAAATAACAACTATTACCCCTTTATCTGCTAGCTAAACCTAGATATAAAGCGTGATAAACTGAAATATTAAAAGACGACACACTGTAAAACTCCCTTGTTCATTAGTGTTGTACTAACTTTTGAATTTTTAATTTACACAATTAGATCTCAACATCCTTTAGCAAAACTTCATGGTTCATCAATTTTAGAGAGACACCACTTGGAATTTGGAAAGTTCTTGCTTTCAGAAGAGGTTTGTAATGCACATTATTAATGGAGGAGTTTGGTTGATTTGCTGTCAGCTGAATTTTAATTGTTCAGTACTCTGAAGTTTCACTTTGCAGGGGTCTGTGCCAATATTTTATTTGGGTTCAGATCTCTGAGGACTTGAATTTATTCCACCAGTTCACTTTAAAGTTACATATGAACCAACTCCAAAGTCAAAGTGAGATTCGGTTAAAATGGCAGAGTTTCTCTTGGGTTAGTGGTGAAATCATGCAGAACTAAAAAGTTCACCTGCTTTCCTTGCAAAACTCTGGTGCACGAACTGTTTTACAGGGCCTACCATAATGGGGCTTCAGGCGCTACCACCATATAAAAGCTAAACAAATCAGCCCGAGCTTGCTCTTGAGTAGGGTTATCATATTTCAGCAAGCAAAAAAGAGTGCGGGAGGAGCCCCCCCCTAGCCCCGTCCCATCCTGCCCTAGCCCTGCCCCTCCCA